GAGGACTCCTTTCCTGGCTTATGCTGCCCCAAGGCATTATTATGTGGGCAGTTGGCAACAAGCTACATGGATGATGAATGCTGTGATGGGATGGGAAAGCATGGTAGCAAGGTAGGGGCTTTGTAGCTAGGGCTTGAAGCAAGGGAAGAATTTGATTAGGAATTTGGGTGTTCTCAAAAGGAAAGAAAGCAGAGTAAACACCTAAGACAAAAACAAGGGCAGTAAGAACAATTTGCTCTATTGAGGTTGAGAGAGAAAGAAAAGTTAGCCAGAATGAAGAACCTTGAATACAAGCCTAAAAAATTTAAATTTTATCAGAATGATTTTGAAATTTCATAAAAGGTTTCCTTTCATGATTAATGTTTTGAGAAGATGGTTAGAAATATGTGGAAAAATTTTAGAATGTAGAAGAAAGACTAGAAACAGGCACCAGTTAGGAGAATTGAGTAAATTTGGTAATGATATTTGAAAACATAAGAGTTAAGGGAGGTCGAAGAATTTATGATGATTACAATTTAAGCCCCAAACAGTGTAAGAAGCTTTTGGGTAGAATATTCAATTAGTCAACAGATACTTAATGAGCACCTATTATGGGTGCTAGACTGTGATTACAGTGGGAATGCAAAAGACAAGGACTCCGCCCTCATGGAGTTTATAAGTAAGGGGTAGAGAGACCTGGGGGGTGGGGGTGGGGGGGTGGGAAAGAGATGTATATGATGATAAGTGTCCTGAAGAGAAATAAAGCAAAGGGCTAAGAAATGATAAAAGAGCGAGTGTTCTAGACTCTGTGAGATAACATTTGAGCAGAGGCCTGAAGGAAGCAAGGAAGAGAGATTCTCCTCACTGCCTGGGGAAAGAGTATCATCGCAGTAGAAAAGCACAGTCAAGGCTCTGTGTGGGAATGCGCTTCCTGCATGAAGATGGGGAAGAAGGCTTATGGCTGGTATAGAACGCCACGGGGAGGAGTGGTGTGGAATGAGATGCAAAATGTCATCAGGGCAAAGCATTTAGGGTTCCGACAGCTGTGGTAAAGAGTTTGAATTTTATTCTAGGTATGATGCAATCACTGGAGGACATGATTTAAACTTTTTAAAAGTTCCCTGTGGCAGCAGAGCATGAGGATTAGTTAGGTGGCCATTGCAGTCCTCCAGGTGAGGGAAGGTGGGAGCTTGGTGAGGTCTGTGGTGGGGATGTTAGGTGCTGTCAGGTCGGCCCTGACGCGTGGTGACCCCGTGCAGCACAGGGGCAGAGTGGTGTGCTCCATAGGGTTTCACCGCTTGATTTTCAGCAGTGAATCTCTCATGCTCTCTTTCTAGTCTGTCTTAATGTGATGCTGAAACCTGTTCACCATCTTAGCAGCCCACTAGCCTCCACTGACGAAGGCAGTGGCTGTGCGTGAGGTGCACTGACCAGGACTCAAAGTTAGTCTCCCACAAGGAAGGTGAGAATTCTCCCACTGACCCACCAGGTGAGGCCTAGAGCAGTAGGGATGGAGGTTGGGCAAAGTGGTGAGATTGCAAATATATTTTGGAGATAGAGCTAAAAGAATTCGTTGATGAGCTAGATGTGGGCTGTGCAAGAAAGAAGAGAATCAAGTACTACCAACAGGGTCTGTATGGTGGCTTTGTGTGAATAAGAAAAAGCTAATTCCCCCTCTGCGGGCAGGCACATCTCAGCACCTTTGTGCTGCTCTTTCCTCTCAGCAAACGCACAGGTTGGAGAGCGGGGCTGGAGCTGAGCATCCGTGGGCAGGGCTCGAACTTGTGAAATACGGCAGCCCTGGATGACTCTTGACCTGGGCAACTGGAGGAATTGTCGTGTCATCCCAAAATGGGGACACTGAAAGAGAAGTTCATGAGGTGTGGGGAAAGGTAGTGGAAATCAAGTTTGACATGATGAGATCTCTGCTAAAAATCCTGGAGGTGATGTCAAGTAGGCAGAGGGACTTGGATGTGTGGAGTTGCGGTGGGGAGTGGTCAGGGCTGCAGAGAAATGTGCTGTTTTTTGAGTCTGAAATAATAGCTTGACAGTCAAACAGTGCTGTAGCCTTAAGATTTGGGAATGGGATTTAGATTAAAAATGTGTATTGGGTAGTCATCCTGCCCAGAGGAATGTGTGAAACCCTTGGGGAAATTATATTGGAACACAAGAAAGAAGAAAACTGGTGATGGAAAATGGGAATGAATATGCAAAGCGATGTAAACGGGATGAAGTGAATACAGCTTGGTGGAAGACGAGGCTGGAGAGGGTGGAGAGGCTGGAGAGGGTGGAGAGGGTGGAGAGGCTGGAGAGGCTGCAGAGGGTGGAGAGGCTGGAGAGGCTGGAGAGGGTGGAGAGGCTGGAGAGGGTGGAGAGGCTGGAGAGGCTGGAGAGGCTGGAGAGGGTGGAGAGGTCAGATAATCAAGGTTCAGAACGGGTACTGCATTTTCGTTTTTACAGAGTTGTAGGTGTTTGAGTAATGAATCTGAAGGTAACTTGCAGAGAATTAAAAATAAAAACTTTTAAAAAATAAGCGCTAAAAGAGGGAATGGATCAGATGTTGTTTTTTCAAAATGGGACCAAGTTGTCTGTATTAAAGCAGAGATGAGGGAACCAGTGAGGGAAATCGGAGGTGTTAAAAACAGAGGGTGAGTGAGGGAGTGAAGGTAAGGGATCTGAAGAGATGTTGGAGGAACAGGCAAAGAAGCTAATCTCAAGAATGAGGAAGGATAGGTAATTCCTTGCTTTGAGGAGGGAAGGAAGAGAATAGAGGTATTAAATGGAGTTATTTTGCAGATGAGTACAGGGAGAGAGAAGAATCCATTTTATCATTTGAGTAGTGATTCATAACCCAGAAGGGTGCATCTTAAAATCACCTTGGGAATTTTTTCCAATTATTATATATGTTTGCCGTTTCTCTGTAAAATGTACCAAACCCTGAGGAGTGGAAGAAAAACTAGGAGTGGGAGGATGCACACACACACATTTTTAGAACATTCTAGATAATTGGGGTCATGCACTTCTCCACCTCCACTGAGAAAACTGCTTTGGATTGTTAAAGAGTTTGCAGGCTGCGGACTACAGAGTGCAGGCTGGGCAGGAGTAATAAAGGGTAGCTGGAAGGGCAGCTGATGGATTGAAGAGGGCTTTGTTTTTGTTTTTGTTTTTTTGATTTGGGTTTATAGAGCAAATTCACATTCCGTACAGCAGTTCACAGACACGTTGTCTCATGATATTGACTACAATTTACCACAATGCAACAGCTCCCCTCCCACTTCCTCCTGATATTTACTTCTTCCCTGTGTCCATCCCTCCATGCACTCCTGCCCCCTGAGCTGTCTCCCTGTGCATACACAGCCCTTCTTTCTCCCATGATTGTTCTCTCCAAGGAGTGTGTATCTACCTCAGGTACATGTTCCACTCCTACGCCTGTCTTTTGTTTGGCCGGGAGCCACAGGTGTGGGTTCAGTTCCAGACCTGAAGGGCAGTCTCAGTGGTCCCACCCAGCTAAGAAGAGGTTTTTTGAAGTGTGATCTGTGGCATATAGCTAGTGTCACCAATAATAATAGTAAGGTTTTATTTAGGGATGTGCTCAGCTAGTTCAACAAGTTCCTGTACTGCAAAACTTTACAGAGTGTTTCACGAATCTTCAGGAAAAGGATTTAGTATTTTACAAAATAAAAACACCTGACCACAGGACCTTTTTTTCATGAAATGTGTTTTTTTCAGAAACGTGTTTTTGCAGAACACATTTTTGAAAACGCTCAATTAGAGTGGTGCAGCAGTGTGGTCAGTTGCAGAGACTTAAAAAGTTCACAGGCTGTGTGGGAAAAGACAAACTACAGTGGGAAGGGGAATGTCCAGTTTAAGGTCTTGAAAGCATAGCCCCAGTGGAATAGCTGTGTTTGTGGGCAGCTGGATTACTTTCCATCCCTCCAATGAAACTTTATTTCTAACCCTGAGTTCTGAATCAATTAGATCATCATCATTTGTTGTTGTTGTTATGTGCCCTCGAGTCGGCCCCGACTCATAGCGACCCCTCCTTGGGTTTCCAAGGCAGTATCACTACGGAAGTAGGATTGCCCAACCTTCCTTCCGAGGAGTGGCTGGTGGGTTTGAACCGCCGGCGGTCTGGTTAGCAGGCAAGTGTCTTAGCATCATAAATGTTGAATTTGCAAAGTATGAGGCAGAAGTGGGAATCTGTGAAGTATTTACAAACGTATGATCAATAGGTTAGTTTCTCATTAACAGTTGGATAAAGTCTTTATGAAAATAGACAAAAATCCAGTGATTTTTGGAAAACTATCCTTTTGCTTAGAAAGATATAGAACAGGAAAAAAGAAACATAGGTAATTGTCAGATGTAGTTATACTTTGAAGCCTTTGAGCATTCAATCAGTGGCAGTGACTTTAACGTTTTGGGAGTTTACCCACCTGTTGAATAGAGGTAGTAATAGGGTGTGAAAATGCCCTGATTTGTATATCATGATCCTTGAAACAAAGATCATCTTTCTAGTGAATCACAGCCATATTCTTATATTTAAGCTGATAATTAATTCTGCAGATTTTCTCAAGATTTCCAAAGCAATGAATGATGAGTGCAGTGAATGCAGGCAGGCATTAATGTACCGTGATTTATGTTTTAATGATCTGAGTTTGTATCAGTATGTGAACCTGCTCTCACTATTGAGATGCTAAGGAGGAAAGGCTCCAATTTTCAATTTCCCCAACTATGTGAGTTTCACAAGCCTCAAATTTCCATTCTTTTGTCCCAACTGACATTCCATTTCTTCCTTCATGAATCTTATCCTTGTTGTTGGATTTTCCCTCAGAACCTCTATTAAAGAAGGGAAAGTATTTTCACACATGTGCATCCTTTGGTTACAGGAGTGTATGCATGCCTTTATCTGCACGGTCTGGCTGAAGTATTCAAAGCACATGGGAGACCACTTACCAGTGACAGTTGTACATTCTATGTATCTATTTTCCCCTGTGGATGCCTGAACTTTCTTTTCTTCACAGGTAAAGTCGGTGATAAACCTTTTGTTTGCAGCGTACACTGGAGATGTGTCTGCGCTCCGAAGGTATGTTAGCAAGGTGGAGTAGCATGTGGTTTACAGATGTTGATAAAGTGGCTTCTGGGCAGCCGGCCATTTTCAGGCTATCCGAGGTCTCACTTCCATTTCCCTTGAATAAAAATGACCGAAAACAAGCCTGCTGTATCCAGTCTTGTCCTTTTCTTCTTATAAAAAGCTTCTCCAAATGGTTGTTTAGTCAGGCTAGTAAGTAGTCATGTTTTACTGGAATTGGACGATGCCTTCTCAGTCCCTCCCCACCCTGACCTGCCTCACATTCTGCGGGGAGAGGAACAGGGGCAAGTGGTGTCCCGCAGATTACAAGGTTTGTTGTTGTTGTTGTTGTTATGTGCCGTCGAGTGAAACCCCACTCATAGCGACCCCTCCTTGGGTTTCCGAGGCAGTATCACTACAGAAATAGGATTGCCCAACCTTCCTTCCGAGGAGTGGCTGGTGAGTTTAGAAGGGCCATATAAAACTATATGTTAAACTTAAGGTCTCTGGTATAGACAAGACTTGTAACTCATCTTTAAAGTGGAAAAATGTGTTAAGCCCCACCTTTGTTTTAAAATCTGACTTTTAGTTCTTGTAAACAGTAGACTATAAAATGTTAAAAGAATGGCAGTTTGTGAAAGCATGCAACTTCGGTGTTAGTATCTTGCTCCTCTGAGACACAAGTAATCTTGGGTCCCCCTGTGCCACTATTCTTGAGACAATAACATAATGAAGCTTAAGAGATGATTAATGTTTCACCCCTTACCTAAAAAAGCAAAGTTAAATAAGAGAGGTGGAATGGCATTTTCCCTGGGTAAATACTCAAAATTATGTGTTGCAGGGGCTTGATGTGTATGATCAGGAGTACGGATTTGGTATTTGAAGACTAGATTAAGTCTGGAGCCTGTGTCAGTGAGCCTTATGAAAGACGGCACCTGTCCCACAGGCCCTTAGATTGATCTGATGGCGTAAAGGTCTCAAGTGTTAATTATTTGATACATAATGAATAACTTAAAATTTGTTTTTCAGGTTTGCGTTGTCAGCCATGGACATGGAACAGCGAGACTATGATTCCAGAACAGCGCTCCACGTAGCTGCTGCCGAGGGTAACGCAGGGACCATTCACCTGTACCGCCCCACCCCACCCCACCGCCGCCCCAAACTTTGCTTGCCAATACTGAAATCTGCGTGGTTTTGTTTTGGGTATAGGTCATGTTGAAGTTGTTAAATTTTTGCTGGAAGCCTGCAAAGTAAATCCTTTCCCCAAGGATAGGTGAGTACTTACATTACCTTCCAACATATAATTGACAATTAACTCTTATTTTCAATAGAGTTGTAACTGTCAAGTGATGGGTTACTTAAATCCATTATGTGTGTATCAGAGAACATTTTTAAAGTTGTGATGGTGACTTAACTAAGGCCACAAACAAAATCTTCTTTCCACTGGGTAGATCATTCACTCCCATATGCTGTTTCTTATCTAAGAATGGTCACTTATTTAGAATTTGTCAGTCTTGACTGTCAGTAAGTATAATGAATGAAGAAAATAATGCTTTATGCGTAGAAAGAGAAAATATTTGTCCTCATGGAGCTTTTAGCCATACAGGATAGACAAGGTAAACGCTTACAGGCCCATGTAGAAAATGAGTAGAAGAATTATTGGTACTGAACTCTAAATTGAGTATGTCGGAATTCCTGGATTTGGGTGGAATCGGTCTTTAAAGAAGTTGAATTTTAATCAGTGCTTTGGGAAAAAGAAGGTTTGAAGTCACAGAAGAAAAGGGTTTTTTCTATCTATAATGGGAGAAATCTGTCTTGAATATATTCTGCTCCTCTCCTCTCCATGCTGGTCCACATGTCACACTGCTGTTCATCCTGCAGAAATGCTTTTGACGGAGTGAACAGTCAAGGCAGGACTAAGAATATGGTTTACTTATATATGTTCTTAGGTAAACCTATACTCATATATTCATGTTATATAACTAGCAGAATGGATGACTCAGTGAGTAAGGAGAAATAAAGCTTTAGAAAGACGAAATACTTGGTATGTATGTTTAGAAATTTGGATTCCGTATGTGAAGACTACAAACTGTATTACGTTTGGAGAAAGTTAGTTACTGTCTAGCAATTAGACCTTTGTTTACTGAACCACACCAGTTGTCTTGGAGTTGATGCCACTCTTGGCGACCTCATGTGCCTGTGTAGACCTGTGCTCCATAGGGTCTCCAGGGGCAGATTTGTCAGAAGTAGATCACCATGTCCTCCTTCTGGGCGCCTCTCAGCAGACCGGAAACCTCCAACCTTTCAGTTAGCAGCCAAGTGTCCGCTTAATTTTCCATCACATAGGGACTCCTTCTGTTTACTAAGCTTGCTTGCTTTTTTTTTTTAATCAGTTTTATAAGTTAGCTTAGAAGAAATGCAAAAAAAATTATGTCAGTGTCTGAAAGCTGTTAGCAATTTTCTAAGTAGGATAACTTTATTCCTAGTGGTTTAAAAGCATCATAATCAAAATGATCTTTACTGGCAGTATTCTAAAACTACACATTAGGTTGACAGTTCTTCCTTTTGTCCTTAAAATGCCCATACCAGTTCTTTCTAGAACAAGGAACTGAATGTTTTATTTTTTCATCCTAGATTCTAATCCCAGCTAAAACACTATTTAAAACATGCTGGAAATATATACTGTGCTTTGTTTATCTAATGTTTGATTTTCCCCTTTAAATTGGCTTCTAAGAATGTGGAGATAAGAGATAGGTACTAGCTGAGATGCAAAAGTTAGCAAAGTAACTAACCTGGTAACTGGGTATTCGAGAATGATAGAATGGAAGCTAAAAACCCAAGACAACCCTTTTCTCTATTTCATGGAATCAGTGTCTCCTGAAATTATGAAATAGGATTCAGCAAAATTACTGTTTTCTTTAAAGCTAACATTTTACATTATTTTATAGAATTGTAACAAAAAAATGTAATTTGCAGTTAACATTCAATTTTTCCATAATTACACGCTAAAAACGATTGAAAAGTATCCCTTCCTATCTCCACTTAAAAGTCACTGACACCCCATAGTATGAAGCCCTATATAACAGTAAAAAACAACTTAATTAGCTGCTTTCGAGAAGCACAGAGATACATGTAAAGTGCTACTTACCTGATTTTAAAAATTAAATACTTGCTACCAAAATTTATCTAAAAATATTTTTTAAATGAAACTATTTAAAAAAATTTTCCAGTTCCACATTGTGACCCCAGTTAAGAGGGTAGCAGGTTAAGGACAGAGGTGGAAAAGACTAATGTTCAGAAATAGAAAGAGGGAAAAAAACAAAAGATGTGTGGCACATGAAAAAAAATGGAATAAGGAAGTCTGGCAACTGAGAAGTTAAATATAAGTAGAGAGAGAATGGAAGAAAGGCTTAAAGTTTGTCAAATATGATGATCTAATTCTCATACCCTGCCATTTATTTTGGGAGTTCTGGTGGCGTAGTGCCTAAGACATTTCACTGCTAACCAGGAGGCTGGCGGTTCAAACCCATCAACCACTCCTCGGAAGAAAGATTGGGCAATCTACTTCTGTAGAGATATCTTCTTGGAAACCCAAGGAGGAGTCGCTATCAGTCCAATCCAACTTGATGGCAATGAGTTTGGTTTTTGGTTTTGATTGTCATTTATTTTAGCTGTAAATTTTAAGGTGCTTTCTTCTCTTAGTGATGTCTTGCAAAAAGCTGATTAGCTAATTAACCACTGTTGACAACTTAATTTCTTCTTTATCCTTAAATGTTCAGCTATATCACTGTGACTAGCACAGCCCCAGAAACACACTATGGAAAAAAGGTGGGTTCTCCTCCGGTTGTGCAGTGGTCCAACCAAGCTCGCAGGTTCCAGTCCTTACCAAACATGATTACAACATGAGTTCCTCTGTGGCCAGTCTTGTTCTTCCAGTGTGTGTCTGAGCCCCGATAAGGTCATGGTTATTTCTAGACTCCCGAGATTGATTCTGAATTGACAGCAGCACAGTTTTTTTTTGTAAAAGGCTAGGCTGATGAATGTTACATACCTGAATTTTCATTGAACATTTTATTTAAAGAGAGAGACTGAGTGTTTTTTCTGAAGTTAAAACTGAACACGAGACGAGTCTGTCAACACTAGACTTCCCTTCCAAAGGTCCTCACCATAAATGCTTAGACATTAAAACAGGGTCCTTCCTTTGAAGATTTTTTCTTTTTCTCCCCAAATCCCAACCTGTCTATGAGACCACTTTTTGAATGATAAATCCCTTTCAATATTTCTGCTGTTCACTTTTGTTACAGTGCTAAAAGGACTATGTTTTGAATGGACATTTAACTCGCATTTAAAATCTACTATTTAAAATGTACTATGCTGGATTAAGGAGCTCTGGTGGCCTAGTGCCTGAGGTATTTGACTGCTAACCAGAAGGCTGGCGGTTCAAATGCACCAGCCACTCCTCAGAAGGAAGGTTGGGCAATCTACTTCCGTAGAGATACTGCCTCGGAAAACCCAAGGGGGGGTCGCTGTGAGTCGGATCATGGCAGTGTGCTGTTGTTTGTTACGCTGGATTGTCTTCTTTGAACGGAACTTACCTAATGACCCACTCCATGCTGTGCTGCTTGTTTAGGTGGAATAACACTCCCATGGATGAAGCCCTGCACTTTGGACACCATGATGTATTTAAAATCCTCCAGGAATATCAAGCCCAATACACACCTCAAGGAGATTCCGACAATGGAAAGGAAAATCAAACCGTCCATAAGAATCTTGATGGATTGTTGTAACAGTCTTCATCCCAATGTTTAAATCACTTACCTATTTAATTGTGGATAATGATTATGAAGAATGAACATGTACATTTCTATCTGGTAGTGATGTATATTTTACATTTGTCATTTCAGTGTTATTGGTGTTTTCTTCATTGTATGCACAGGACAAATTTGATCTCTTCGGAAAAAAAATAGAAATAAAAACAATCACCCTCCATAATGTGAGCAATATTTACCTCGTGCATTGTACCATTTGATGTAAAAGAAATAGTTACCAATGCTAGCTTAACTGTGTGGTCTTCATGATTTTCTGTGTGTGTTTTATGAATTTTCAACTTATAGTGATGATCTGCTGATACGCATTTACAAATTAAGCTCTGTTGTGCAGTCTGTCCAAATGGATCAAGGCTGCCTTCTGAAGCAAATAGTGTGATTTTCAAAACTTCAAATACAGATTTAGTTTGAGTGTTTGAACAATACACATTTAGGGTTGTGTGTTTAAAATGTCTCCTTTCACCCGAACTTCATGACATAACTCTTTCAGGATTGTATTAGTTAACAACTGTTAGTACAATAGACCAGTTATGATTAGACTTTATCAGGGAATCTGTTTGGTGACCAAAACACGTGTAAATGTAGTTATAATACTTTTGAAATTTTTTCTGTTTTCTATATCCCCTTAGTCCAGCCTCTCTTCCTATTTAGCTACTCGCCTCTTTCCTCTAGCCAGGAAAGTGGGTGCTGGCATACTATGCAGTTTTCATGTTTTCCACAGTAAGTCAGAAATGCCTCATATCTCTGGCATCTGTCTTCAGCAGATGAAGCAGAGACAGATTACTAAGTTAAGTACAAATCGGTCAGATTCATCAGTCTGTATAGTCAAAGGATGTACCACTTCAAGAAGGTAGTCTTCAGCTTCTAGAATAAATCCTGAAATGCTCTGAGCTACCAAACTTATCAATAGTATGGGAACTGCTACAAGTAACAATTGTTTTGAAATCTGTCATTAAATTCTACATCAAGGTTCTCTTTAGGGGACCACTAGATCACTCCAGTTTCTTCTAATCCTCTATTGTGTAATTTTTGATGGACTCTCTAGTTTAATGGAGCTCCCCTGGTGCAGTGCCTAAGGCATTCCCCCAGCCACTCTGCAGAAGGAAAACTGGGCAATCTATTTCCGTAAAGATTGACCACCTTGGAAACCCAATGGGAATCGCTATGAGTTGGAATCAACTCGATGGCAGTGAGTTTGGTTTTATAGTTTAATACTAAAGAAGAGGCCATTTCATGTTAAATGGAGACCCGTCATGTCTTTGTGCATGAATAATTTGGAAAGTACAGGTGGAAAGGGACTCCAAAAATGAAAGAACACAATTTGCTAGGAATTGTACATACACTTTATCCTAGCATACCTCAAAGAGAGAGAGGTTTGAGGATTTCTAGCTTTTCTTGGGGAACAAGGAGTGTTTTTGCTGTTTCTCAGATCAAAACTATTTCATAAAATCTTTGTGGTTTAGTTCATGGACCCTCATTTACCTGGTGTTATTTTATGACTGCTGATTTCTGCTCTGGCTGTTTGCTGTTGGCTGGCAATAGCAAGTGCATTTGGTTTAAATGCTTGTTGACTGTGCTGTTACATGCTGCCATCAATATAATACTCCAAAGATCTTTTTGTTTTGGTTTTAGAATCACATGTACTTTGTTATGTATCATGCGGACTCTATATGGTGAGGTTAATTTAAAGCTTTGTATACACTTGTTTTTGCTGGTCTTGGTTCTAATGAACTCATCTTTGGGTGTGACGTGCTGCACCCCACTACTGCCCGCCCCCCACTGCCCTTTAGCTGCAGAGCTTGATTAGCAGTCGGGCATCTGACCCTGTTGTCTGTCTGGCAGTGACTGAATGACCTGATGTTGGGATTCTTCCTGGGGATTACACAGCTTGAATGTATTTGCTTCTAGAATCTTCCATAAGTGAAATCTTAAAACTGTAAGTTGTAAGTATTCTGAAATTGGGAAATATTTATTTTAAATGAAATCAGGTAGTGTTGCTTTTTACAGCACAATAAATACATGTATCAAAAAAACTGTGTCAAAGCTAATTTCCTTAATATTAACTAAAGCTTTCTCCTCTTTGCATGGGATGGGAACTCCTTGGGCCAATACCTACTTGGTTCAAATCAAGAAACCATTTCTAATGCCTGTTATGAGCCAGGTACTATGTAAGGTGTCAAGTGGAGGTGCCACAATGATTAAGATTCCTGTAAGTTCACCCTTGAAGGAGAGAGGACAGGCAGGCCATATTTCCAGTCCTCCAGAAGCTAGCATTCTCCTCTTACAGTTAGGAAGTGCTCAGTTAATGCTGAATTGAATCATTAACTCTGTCCTTCCTTCCACAGGAGTGGTTCTAACTCCTCAATGAGAGGAGAGGTTATATACACAAAGCCAAGTCTATTTGGGGCATTGAACTTAGTGCTGCCACACTAGGATCAGAGTTGGACCAGCTGGTAAACCCCACCTGCTTCATTTGTGTGGGAACGGCACTCATTTCCAGTGCCAGAAATCCTTGGCTCTCAGAGCACTTGACACTTTCACTGCAGGCTTAGGGTTAGTGTACACCGATGAGGTACATAAATACCATGGCTATCAAAGTTGGTTGTCACCAGTAATCTGCTTTGCTATGGAAGTCAACTAGTGTTACGTCACTTGTATTACTAACATTTTAGAACTGGAAGAGACCTTACAAATTCTCTAATCTCACTCATTTTTATAGATGGAGCCAAGACACAACAGTGAGCTGCGGTACAGAACTCTCAGTCCCACATTCTCTGCCTACATCCTACAACATCTTGTGCCCCCTATGGATGGAATATCTGGCTACATGGCAATTAGCTAAGGCCTCACTTCTGCAGGGCTTTAGAGATATAAATGCTAAAATGTGAGTCCCCAAATAGTCAAGTTCAGCCATACATACACACACACACCCGCAGATACAAGCATGACATCAGCGCAGGGGAAATAGAATGTATGAATAATCCTATGCAATGAAAGATGAAATTCTATTCATTCCTGATACGACGTGATCATTCTGTTGTGGCGGGCCTTTTTTTTTTTAAGGGAGTGGGGTAATCTTCCTCCTTTCATGTACAACAATGAGCTCAAACATAGCACTGTTTGTGAGGGTGGCACAGGACTGGCAGTGCTTCATTCTGTTTTGTACATGGGTCTCCATGTCCGAACCAACTCGACAGCACTTAACAACAACAATCTTTATGGCAAAATGAATAAATTCATAAATCACAAACCAGCCAGCAGAAGGAAACAGTCCACGAGTGTGTGATGTGGCAATTAAAAAAGGCTTTTAGGGAAAGGGGGGTTTTAGAGTTAAATATGGAAAGGATGTGATTTCCTAGAGAAGATAGGTGTGTTTTGGTAGGGGAAGGGTTAGAAAATTAAAGCTGTTGTGAAAAAAGGAGATAAAGAGCTGTACAGAAGGCATTAAAGGCAAGATTAGGAATTGTACTGCTGTTCTGAAGTCTAATGGCACAGCCCCAACCGGACTCTGGACACTGTGTGCCCCATCCCTGAGGCTTCCTGCTGCTCCTAAGAGTCAACAAAGAGCCTGCTAGGAGGTAAGCCGGACAAGCAGTCACAATAGCAAAACAGTATCAAAACTGCTTCATTCAAGGGAAAGGCTAAAAACATACCAACAACCAGGTATTAAAGTAGTGTAATACCGCTATGAAATAGAATTCATAGTTTGCTGATAGGTATGCGACAGCTTTCTACCTTCTAGGTACCTAAAAAAAAACTTAACTCACTGCCACTGAGTCAATTCTGACCCTTCTGGGTTTCTGAGGCAGTAAATCTTTGTGGAACTAGATTGCCCAGTCTTCTGCAGAGTGGCTGGTGGGTCTGAACCGCCAACCTTCTGGTTAGCAGTCAAATGCCTTAGGCACTGTGCATCAGAGCTCTAGGTAACTATAACCCAAAAAACCCACTGCCACTGAGTCAATTCCTACTCATAGGGACTGGACAGATGGGAACTACTCCACAGGGTTTCCAAGGCTATAAACCCTTACGGAAGCAAACTGCCGTATCTTTCTCCTGTGGAGTGGCTGATGGGTTCAAACTGAAGCCTTTCGGTTTGCAGCCAGGCATTTAACCGCTGTGCCACCAAGGCTCTATTTTTCAATGATTACAGCAAAGACATAATCCTAAATTCACCAAAACTTGGAAGCTGAGTATTACTGAGTCCGTATCATGTAAGAACTATATAAAGTAGTCTTAGAAGGCCCTAAAAACAATATTCTCTGTTGTTGTTGTTGTTGTTGTTTGCCGTCGAGTCGGCCCCGACTCATAGCGACCCCTCCTTGGGTTTCCGAGGCAGTATCACTACGGAAGTAGGATTGCCCAACCTTAGAAGGCCCTAAAAACAATATTCTCTGTAGTGTTTCTAAAATTGATTTAAGGGCAATTTTTTTGAAATTTGTGTATTTTTATATAGTGTTTAAATTATGTCTAGCTTTTGGCTATGTATGCTTTACAAAACCAAGTTTTAATAAGTAAGATAGTGCACTAGAACACGTTTGTGTTAAGTGCCGTTTAGTCTGTTCCAACTCATAACAACCTTACAAACAACAGAACCAAACCCTGCCCAGTCCTGTGCCACCCTCACAATCCCTGCTGTGTTTGAGCCCACTGCCGTGGCCGCTGTGTTAATGCCCCCTGTTGAGGGCCTTCATTTCTCTCACTGACCCTTTACCTTACCAAGGGTGACGTCCTTCTCCAGGGACTGGTCCCTCCCGATAACACGCCCAAAGTAGGTGAGATGAATTCTTGTCATCCTCACTTTTGAGTAGCACTCTGGCTGTACTTTTTCCAACACATATTTGTTTATTCTTCATTAAGTTGTTGTTGTGCCATTAAGTCGTCTCTGACCCTTAGTGACCCTATGCACAGCTGAACAAAACACTGCCTGGTCCCGGGCCAGCCTCACGATCCTTGCTATACCTGAACCCATTGTTGCAGCCACTGTGTCAATCCATCTCGTTGAGGGCAGTCCATGGTGTATTCAATATTCTTCCCAACACCATAATCCAAAAGCATCAATTATTCTTTGGTCTTCCTCACTCATTGCTCATCTTTTGCAAGCATATGAGGTGAATGAAAATACTATGGCTTGGTATTGGACACCTTAAGTAGTCAAAATGACATCTGCTTTTGAACACTTTAAAGAGGTCTTTTGCAGCAGATTTGCCCAATGCAATAATTTGATTCCTTGACTGCTGCTTCCATGGGTGTCGACTGCAAATACAAGTGAAATGAAATCTTTGACAACTTCTATCTTCTAATTATCATGATGTTGCTTATTGGTCCAGTTGTGAGGATTTTTTTTTTTTTTTTTTTCATGTTGAAGTATAATCCATACTGAGACTGTAGTCTTTGATTTTCATCAGTAAGTGCTTCAAGTCCTCCTTGCTTTCAGAAAGCAAGTTTGTGTCATCTGCATATTACATGTTGTTAATGAGTCTTCCTACAATCCTGATGCCACAGTCATCATATAGTCCAGCTTCTTGGATTATTTGCTCAGCATACAGACTGAATATAGTGAAAGGCTATAACCCCAATACACACCTTTCCTGATTATAAGCCATGCAGTAGCCCCTTGTTCTGTTCAAATGCCTGACTCTTGATCTATACATAGGTTGCTCATGAGCATTACGTATGTGCACTTGATTGTGCATGAGAACATACAATCCGGTAGCTCGGAACATCTTGCTAGAATGTAAGTTCCATGAGAGCTGAGATCTTTGCCTATTTTTGTTTACCAGTGTTTTCCAAATATCTAGAATAGTGCCTGGCTCATAGCACATATATAAACATATATCTTAACTAAAAGAAGCCACTCGAGGAAATACTTTGGAAACAACATCTCAGTTCAAAAGGTAGGTCCAAAACAATTGGTAGCCTTTTCCTACCCTTTCTCTGAAGTAGTCACACGTAACAACATGACTGCTTTGTTCATGAAGTCTTATCTCATATTTCATATTTAGCTTACAGGCAATAAATAAACTGCTGCCACTTAACACCAC